TAAAATACTTCCATATATTCACATTAACAAAAATACACTCAACAAACATTCAGACCTCCATAACTACAATACAAGGAACAACAAGACACCGCATTACTCTAACTATTAAACATCACCGATATATGCTGGTAGCGATCTTAATAATGCCCTATCAACTGATCTCAAGCAGTTGAGAGATATCGAATTCAAGAGAAATCTTTAAAACAATCTTCTGAATGGGTGCTTCCATTCGAAGTATGCGTTTGTGGATTATTTGACAAATATTGATATGATTTGATATTTATGCTATTTATGATTAGTTTTTAAGACTTGTACATATTAGTTATGTTATGTCCTCAACTTCTGATGTATGTATATGTGAAAGTTTCATTCACCTTATTCATTATTATTTGTTTGTTACTCATTGTTATGTGTATGTTAGTATGTAGTTTTTTGACGAAATCCATTGTATAATAGCTTATGGAGTGATAAAAATGATGATGATGATGATGATCCGTACTTCAAAGAAAAGACTGATGCTTCAAGTAGCGTTTGTGAATACATTCGAACTAATTTGTTCAGAAACCCACGTTTCATTGCTAGATCAGGACTGATTGACAAAGTAAACTTTCAAGGTACGCACGATGTTCTTCGAACATTATAAAAATTTCCTTTCGTGCACTACAAGATATGAAAAAATTGACCAGCGTTGGATTTAAAATGAGAGCATCTACTGTAACAGATATATTTACAAGGTGTATATTCTTTCCAATACTACCTCTAACTAGTGATTATATCAGTATGTAGATTGTAGAATCAATATCGAGAAAAAGAAATATTGGAGCATTAAACAGTATTGGAAAGGAATATCCTCAGATATAATTATGAACACAAAAAAATGGATGTATATTTAAAGAAATACATCGAAAATTCGCATTCTCCATGTGATGAAAATATTAATTTCCTCTCGGTTTATTCAACAGAAAACAACTACTTTCCTGGCTATATGCCACGACGAATATTGAATTACATCTATTGAACACACACAATATGAATTTGGAAACAAAATCTTCATATAAATATATCCACATAATCTCATTCTGAATATTCAACAGAAAATAACTACTCTCCAGGCTTTTTGACACGTCGAACATTGAATTATATTTGTTGAATATCCAAAAAGAGAGCATGAAAAATGAAAATCCTCTGAAATTGAGAATTGACATTATCACTCAAATACATTTTTTTCGTTCCGCAACCTACGGTTTAGAGCACTCAATTTCTTTTCATTCTCGTTCATTGACGATGTCGATGTTAAACAATGAGAACTATTGATTTATGTTTATGGATTCCGTGTCGGTTTGCACTTTCGCTAGTCAAGGGTAGTCACACAGTCGCTACAACTGACCCTCTGCATGGTCGAAAGTGTCATGGGATTAAAGGGAAGCACATAACTAACTACAAGTGCATCATTGGCGATTGGCGGTTCTTAAACATCCTCACAATAGTCAAAGGCACATACAGGGTTTCTTGAAATTGAATTACAGAACTTACGCTTGATTTGGCGCCTCCTCGTCACGAGAAATACGAGGCGCGTCGCGTCCGCTTCACGTATAATCCGCTAATGTTTTCAGTTTTCCTTTATCCCTTTGTTTAAATAGGTAGGTTCATTAACTTTCATTTAGATCATCCTATGTCCCTTCAACCTTTTGGTCCTCAATACCTCTTGGGTTTTCAAGTAATGACTTGGAATCTTTGAACTGGTGTTTTTAGCACATAGCTCATGTGTAACAACGAGTAGGTGAATAGGACTGCTTAGGCACACTATCAATACAGATTAATCTTTTATCATTTTATGAACATACCTACATGACACTCCCTCCTCAATTGTTTCTGGAATATCAAGTAATGATTTGGCGCATCAAGGATGGAGTTGGCGCATCTTAGGCTCACTCGCGAGAAAATTCAAGTATTACCTTCCATGAACACAACTATCACACTTTTCTTCCTAGATTCTTCATGGGTTTTCATGTGATGATTAACTTGTGCTTAACTTGGCGCCTTCTAGCCACGAGACATTCTAGGCGCACGTTAGATAATCAACTACAACGGCAAAGCTTTGGAAGTCTTCACCAATGGAAGTATTCTCGAAGTTCATAACCTCAAAAAGTTGAGAAAAAGGCCAACACCTTCCTCTTTTCCCTCTCCTCCCTAGGTACGCGTGATGTTCTACGAAGATTATAGGAATTTCCATTCGTGTACTCCAAGAAAAAAAAACGTGAACAAGAGAGTTGCTCGATTGAAAAGGATCTTCTTCACCTAAAGAATATGCCTGGAAGTGATACCTCGCGCAATGTCAAGAGAAGACCATCATGACCATCCGCATCTGCATCCAACCTGAAAAGTGTTAACTCAACTCACCCATGACACCCTTAAGTTTGAACCATCTGCACTCGTTCTCTTGAGATTGGGTGAATTCTTGAGAAAAATTGATCGCACTGGAGGGTTTGTTGAAGGAGATTGGGTCTGAGACTGAGAGGGGCATATTATAGATTATGGAAACTACTTCTCGAACCTGTCAGAGTATCAAGGAAATCTGAACAATCACTTTCTTGGACCATTACTATTACTGAGTGATTCCAAGAGTGCATATATATACCGGGTATCAGTTCACGGATGGACAAGGCCGGGCCTTGATTAGCCTACGCGACAGTAGTCGATAGAATAGGTACCTGATGCTGTTTGAACTGATCATCCTATTTTTAAGTTGTGTTTTCTCAGTTTTATATTTTCTCAGTTGTATTAGAAAAATAACAATGAAAATTAAATCTGAAACCCTACAACATTCTAGTTCCTTTTTCCATCAGGCTTTTTAACGAGATAGTTATAGAGACAGATCAAAATATAGTGAACGATTATTTAAATTGAACTAGATAAAAATGAAGTGTATGTGAATTGGAGGTTATTTCCTCACAGTGCAACATTGATCCATATGGGGGTCAAGTATTCAATCCATTAATTTTGAGATGTTACAGAGACTGACAAACTAATCGAAGTTCTCTCAATAGATATATTTTGGGAAAAATTCACCATAAGTCGAACACAAAAAGCGTCGAAGTTCGATTGAATGAATGTTAATTATTTCAGATCTAAGGAAATGCAAAAGTGATCCTTTTCAAAATTGGCTCACTACCTTTTTCTATAAATCCACGTTTTCAGTGAGAATCCGAGGTTACATAACTATATCCCTGAAAAGAATTCTGTCAATCTAATTTCAACGCACCGCAGTTATAAGTCAATTCTGGAGTAATGTTTACCAAGAAAAGTTCCCTTATCTGAATATATCTGAATCGATGAATAATCTCTGTATATAGTTCTAGTTGTAATATTCATATACATATACAGGTTCGTGTCACAGAAATTGATATCAGAGTATATCGTATAAAATATTTCTTAATCTAACGAATACGACGATTTACGGGTGAAAATGTTAAAATTTGTCTCAATAATGATGGGAGGTCATGGTCATCACCTGTTTTTTGAAAAAACTTCTTCGTCATAAGTACCCATGGAATCATAGGATTCTTCCGGTCACATATTCCTATAGTTATTGAATGTACTTTCAGCAAACCAGGTATCGTTTTATTCGTATTGGAATTCCTAAACCCGTTCGCCATCAGCTGTCACATATATGTGACCAGAAAATTCTCACGTACGCATGCCGACACACAAAATTATGTATGACTTGGGCTCAGAGTAATTCATATGAAATTCTCACCTAACCGATCTGTGCTGTTGTTCTGTTCAATCTACGATCTACTAGTAGGTCCAACACATATTTGTTATGATCGGTCCCAGGATCTCGAGCAAGTGAATTTGCTGTGCCTGTTCTCCAATAAAGAAGATAAGCTCGAAAAACCGAAGAAAAATCGTTCTCAATGTTATCTGTCTAGAAGTCGACGAGAGGTATGCCATTAAGCCAGGATCATTGGATCACAAGCGTAGATAACACATCTATAATAATAAGATGAGGAATTCAACATATTTTATTGAAATGTGAAGTTTTGGTTACTAAGACGTGATCTTATGATCAGCCTTGAGTGCTCAAGCGATCCGAGGTTAGCGGTTAGACTGCTCGTCGACTTCTAGGCAAATGATCTTGAGAACAACCTTATTATGAAGATTCACATGAAGACCGTGATCATGATGAGCTAGAACCGGCAAAGATTGCTGAAGTAGCTGTGAATTAAGAATATATCCTTCCAGACCGGGCGTTTACTCGTATTTAATAGCTCCTAAATAACTTTTTCTGGTTGGTGCTTTGTTCTCCATATGTGATCAATTGCCTTGTGCATCAAACTTTCCCAAAAAAATAACCACATACGAAGTTTGCAAAAATATCTCAATATTTCCAATTATTTCGTTCATTCAATAAAACAATATGATGATTTAAGGTCTTGACTGAAGCTGAATTGACATTCTTGTTATTCTGAATATTGTCATGTCACATGTATGTGGTATATTCTGGAGAATAACTGTTCATGAAATCTACATCACAAAAATGTGGCAACAGTAGAGACAGCATTCTCCACATGTTGCTACATACAATATAGCAATAAAATAAATATCATGCACTCTCCTCACGGGCTGTGGTGAACGGCCAATCGAATGCCCTAGATAGCGAACGTTTTGCCAAATTTGGAATGGAAAATGTATTGTTTCATTTCGAATAGAGATCAGTTTCAGAAATGAATATTTCGCAGTAGCTTTCGATTTGAACAAAACATCTAATTTGATGTATGGGTTTTCGAGATTATTTTCCAGGCATCTGCCTAGTCCTGTTATATACGTATGCATACCTATCATAAATAATTCAAGATAGTGATACCTACCATCACAATTATATTTTCGATCAAGAAAAATTGTTCATTCACTCAGTGGATTTCCCTGAATATCATCTACAATCCACTGCTTCAAAAATATCCGGCAGTCTAAACGTACATAAGTAAACACAATTTTACCTGTTATACATGAGAACGTCAGGCTTCCACAGTCGATGGGGTGGAATACGGAGATCTTTCACCCCACCAAACTCGGAAGAATTCCACCTCAGGTTCATGTCGTTCCATTCCTGGAATAACAAACAGAATTTATTGAAATATTAGAATTCCCCCTGATATACTCCGCCTATATATGGGCGGGGAAATAGTGCGTCAGAGTCCATCTACTCGGTTCCTATATAATAGCAAGGAACACGATTCAAAGTCGAATGCAAACAGGACGGTATAGAGTCTATATAACAAGAGATATATACCGTATATACAGAGTGCCCGAAAACAGATTTAGGAAGTCGAGGACAAATATTTCAAATGGAATGTCATGTTTTAGCACATTTTTTTCAAGCATCTCAGTGACCTATTTCTTCAATAGAGAGTTGAAGTGTTGTCATGAACGTTAACGTAAACGTAGAAATTGACAGCTACGCATGCGCATTTTCCAATTCTTCACGTTTGCGTTGTTAGTGGGCTTACGGGTGTACGTTATCTCACGTTCCTTCACGTATACCTTAAATATCAACGTACGTTAACCAAACTATACTCGAAATATGCCGATGAGTCAAAATTATCAAATTCGAGATCACCAACGAGTTCTGCATCAAGGAGTCGTCTAATTTTGACAGGAATAAATGTTCGAATCTAAACACACAACCAAAAATGACCAATACAAACCGAAAACAAAATGTATTATTACGTTATGATGACAGTGACGACCAAAGTGGCGACTTCAATTCAATTTAACGACAATACGTAAACGTTATTTTTCGTACGTTAACGTCGACGTGGAGGTCTACGTACAGTGATTACTTCAACTCTCTAATATGCTTTGTTTCAATCAATTGACAGTAATATATATTATTTTGTTCAAATAATGTATATTATTTTGCTCAAATAATAATCAGCAGATGCATACGGTGAATTATTATAATGTCGTTTGATATACATATGTGTGAGATAGGTAGTTATACTAAGACACCTATCAAAATAGGGAAAAACACGCCTAATTTTGTAGTGGAAAATTCGAGGGCGCGGTGACGCGATGGAGTGACTTATTCACTGAGTGAAATAATAGTTGTTGATAAAATTACACACCGAAGGCTACAAACGCATTTTACGCACGTGATACATACAACATATGAATTTAGTAATCAGGAGGAGCGTGATGTTAATGGATAATTAACAAATAAAAATTATCGTTCAATTTTTTTTCTCTTGGAGCACCCGAAAAGAATTTCCTATGATGGTACCTAGGGATGATAGGGAGAGGAGGGGGGTGTTGAAATTTTTTTGAACTCCTGGAGGTTATGAGTTCTTGGGAATACTTTCATTGACAAATAATTTCAAAGCTTTGCCGTTCAATAGACGAACGAGTTTTGGTAAAAAGTTATTCGACAACGGTTGACAACGAAAGGATGTGCTGACTGGGCTTGTCAAATTTGTCTGAGCAGACTTGCTAGTGATGAAATGGTAGCCGAGATTTCTGAGGAAAATTTCTCGTGGAAGTATCTATAGAAAAGTAAATGATCGCCAACTTTTCTACGCTGTTCTAACCCACCAGGCGGATGGCTCTTCTCTGGATGAATCTAAGAGCATCAGCGTATTTTTGGGCGCTGAACTCAATATGTGGGAGCAGTATCCTAATACTGGCCGTATCTGTCCTCTGTATATCATGAAATACTGTTGGGGTGAAAAGAAAATTTTTGCACGAAATATAAATCCGAGTGTTTGTGTAGCAGCTTTCGCAATGGATCGGACATGATTCATCCATGAAACAGTATTGCTGATGGAAAAACTGAGCATCGATATAGTTGTTTTGGAAAAAATGATGGTACCAGACATTATTATACAGGGTATTTCACGATGAGCTTACACTATCTCTATATCGAGAATCAGTCGGGAGAAATCGATGGAAATATGCATTCTAATATTTCAAAATACGTTCTCTTCGTCTGGAATATTTTCAGCAATGCAGTGTTGCCGCTCCTAACCAAAAGTAGCCACGACTTTTTTATTTTGAAAAGAATACCCTGTATTTTATTGCATTTTTAGATTCTCCCTGAAGAGCTGATTCCATCTATACATCAGATTTGGGGTCTATCGGGAATGATCAGAGAGATAAAATGTGTTTAAAATAGAGATTTTTCAACTTTAGGATTTGTTTGTGTCGAAACTATGTATTATCGGCCAAAACGGCTCACATGTCCCTACCCCACCTGTTGATTCACTATTTACTCATATTGAATCGACACAGATACAGGTTGATCAGAATTCTGAATCTTGAACCACCCTGTATATGTTCTTATTAAATATCAGTAAATAGAGGATCAAAAGTTGAGATTGGGAAATGTGGACCGTTTTGATAGTGACACAAAAATATCCAGAAATTGAAATATCTCGATTTTGAACACCCTATATCTCTGTAATCTTTTTCGACCAAGTGTGATATATCGATAAAATCAGCTTTTGAGGGAAAACTAAAAATATCAATGTTGCTGCTAATTTCTAGTAGATGCGGCAACACAGTATTGTCTGAAATATTTCAAATGAAGAGAGCGTATTCTAAAATATAGGCATGCACATCTTCATGGATTTCTTCCGACAGATCCGACTGATTCTCGTTATAGAGATAGTGTGAGCTCGTCGTGGCATACCCTTATAGCGTTGAATTCAACTAGGTTTTTGGTTTACCAGGCTGGAATTTCAGCAAGATCATCATTGACAGTGTTGGCTTGTCATCGTCGTTATCGTGGTAATTCTAGAAGAGGACCCGGTGCGAAGATAGAACCCGAAACTCAGCGGCCAAAATCACGAAAATACCCGATTGACCATGGGCGTACATCAAATGCAAAAAAGTTTTGTGAAGTTAGCACCCAAAATATGGCGGCCAAAACTGATGGACACCCGGATGTGGAGGAAAACTAGAAAGAAATATCAAATAATTTATTTCACGACACGATACTACAAGCAGAATCTTTTCGCAGCCGTCTAAGTGTGTCAAATCGAGAAGAAACTACCCTCTGAAACACATTCATTATAAAATGACTTTGAAACACGAGATGTCAACTCATAATTGTTCGAAAAAGATCATAAATAATTTTGTCCATGTCATACTAAGAGCAGAATTACTTCGGAGCCGTCTGAGGGTGTCAAATCGGGGAAAATCTACACCGCAAACTATTTCAACTCTGAAATGAACTTGAAAATGATCTAAAAAAATCATGAATAATCTGGTCCATGACATACCAGAAGCAGCAATCCTTCGGAGCCGTTTAAGGGTGTCAAATCGAGAAAAACCACTTCGTAATCTACTTCAACTTTCAAATGACTAGGATGGACACGGGGTGTCAACTTGAAGTTGATTTCAAAAATTCAGAAATAATTGAGTCCATGACATAGCAAAAAAATTTCTCCGTCGGAGCCGTCTAAGGTTGCCAAATCGAAGAAAATTCACCCCGTAAACTTATCCATCTCTGAAATGACTAGGAAGGAGAAGAAGTCGAATTCGAATTTCGTCTCAATGAATTGAGAAGGATTTAGTCCATAACATACCAGAACCAAAACTTCTTCAGAGCTGTATAAAGGTGTCAAATCCAAAACCACCCCGTGAACTACGTTAACTCGAAAATGACTAGGATGGAAACAGAGTGTCGACTTGGAATTTGTCACGAAAACTCACTGATTGGTTTATGACGTACTAGGAGCATAATAGCTTCGGAGTCGTCTAAGGGTGCCAAATCGAGGAGAAACTACCCTCTGAAATACTCTGATTCTGAAATGACGACGAAGGACACGAGGTGTCAACTTGAAACTGGTCTCAGAAAATCAGAAATTATTGAGTTCATCCTATACCGAAAGCAGAAATCCTTCAGACCCGTCTTAGGGTGTCAAATCGGGCAAAAATTACCCCATGAACTACGTCAACTCTGAAATCACTAGGGAGGAAATGGGGTGTCAACTTGAGATTGATCTCAAAGTATCGGAAATTATTCATTTCATGACTCACCAAGAGCCAAAATCCTTCGGAGCCGTCAGAGGGTGTCAAATCGTGGAATAACTACCTCGTAAACCACGTTAACTCGAAAATGACTAGGAAGAAAACAGGGTGTCAACTTGAAATTGATCTCAAAAAATCAGGAATAATTTATTCCATGACTACCTGAGAGCAGAAATCCTTTGAACCCGTCAGGGTGGCGAATCAGGGAAAGAATACCTTCTGAGCAACTTTAACTCTAGAATGACTAGGAAGGTAACAGAGTGTGAACTTGAAATTGGTCTCAAAGAATAAAAAATAATTGGGTCTATGACATCCAGAAGCAGAAATCCTTCGGAGCCGTCTGAGGGTGTCAACTTGAAATTTGGCTAAAAAAATCAGAAATAATTGGGTCCATGACATACCAGAAGCAGAAATCCTTTGGAGCCGTCTAATGGTGTCAAATGGGGAAAAACCACCCCGTGAACTACTTCAACTCCAAAACGACTAGGAAAGTCGCGAGGTGTCCACTTGAAATTGGTCTAAAAAAATCAGAAATGATCCGTTTCACGACACTCACTGAGATCAGAAATCCTTAGGTCCCGTCTATGTCAACTTGAATTTGGTCACAAAATGTCTAAATTGATTGGGTCTACGACATACAAAAAGCAGAAATCCTTCGCAGCCGTCTGAGGGTGACTAATCTGAGCAATCTTAACTGTAAAATGACTAGGAAGAAAACGGGGTGTCAACTTGAAATTGATCTCAAAATATTAAAAATAATTAGGTCCATGACATACCAGAAATCCATCGGACCCGTCTAAAGTTTGTCAAATCGGAGAAAAAGTACCCTCTGAGCAACATCAACTCTGAAATGACTAGGAAGGAAACAGAGTGTCCACTTGAAATTGGTCTCAAATAATCGAAATTAATTAGGTCTTTGACATATCGAAAGCAGAAATCCTTCGGAGCCGTCTGAGAGTGTGAAATAATGGAAGAACTACCCTTAGAGCAACTTCAACTCTGAAATGAAGGAAACGGAGTGTCAACTCGACATTGGTCCCAAAATATCAGAAATAATTGGGTCCATAACATACCAATAGCAGAAATCGTTCGGAGCCGTCTGATGGTGTCATATAATGGAAAAACTGCCCTCAGAGTAACTCCGACTATAAAATGACTAGGAAGAAAACAGGGTGTCAACTTGAAATTGGTCTCAAATAGTCAGAAATATTTGGGTCCATGAGATACCGAGAGCAGAAATCCTTTGGAGCTGTCTGAGAGTGTCAAATCGTGAAAAAATTACCCCGTGAACTGCGTTAATTCCAAAATGACTAGGAATGACACGAGGTTTCAACTCAAATTAAGTCTCGAAAGATCAATAATGATTCAATCCATGACATATCGGAAGCAGAAGTCGTAGGGTGTGAAAAGTTTAGATTTTCTGAACTTCAAGAATTTTTTGTTTCGAAAATATTCATTATTGACCAAAACGGTTTGCAAGTCCTTATCTTTGAATTCTGATTCACTATCTACTGACATTTGAAAGAGAGTTGAGATGGGGTTATGAGAACCATTAGGCCAGTTTTCTACACCCTATAGGTATATTCCTCTGTAACTATTCAGCTAGATCCCAATTGTGATAGATCCATAAAATCAGCTTCTCAGGAAGAATCTGGAAATGTCCTATTTGAAAATTCAAAAATGTTGCCCATAAGTATTTGTCAAGATATTCAACTGTTTTTCTGTTAGCATATATGGAATCCCAAAAAAAAATTTAAAAACATAGGTACTTCAAAGAGAGAATTGAGCAGTACATGAAAAAGTCAAGTGGGGGTTCAAAATATACGTGCAGACCCTGTACAGACCGACACACAGTAGACGCGACCCTACTCAGGCTGCTCGAGAATCTATTTATGGTAATAGATCTGATCTAATCTTGAATAATCCATATAATTTTCTAGCAGCTATTCGACGATCTATTAGTAGTAACATAGTAAATATCCTGTGAACACTTGAGAACACGACTATTGTGAATCAGTTAAGCTATTTGATACAAATCAGTACGACCTATTACTGACAGCCAAATTGCTACTTGTGCTAGGCATGTTTTGAGAAATGCAATATTCTGTTTGGATCTGGTAGACTTCATTTAGCAAAATTTATATATTCAGTTCAGCAAATGAATAGCTTTGGCGCCTATTGAATGCAAATATTTTGCTGTGGTTATCCAATTCTTTTAACTACCAATGAAAAATTTTCACAGTGCAGGTTTCAAAATCACATCAGATTGTTTTTACTAATCCTAATAAATTTCACAGTGCAGGTTTCAACATTTCATCAGAAAATGACTATTTAGACATGGGTCTATTTGCAAGGAAAATTTGAATTCAGCTGAGAGCTGAGCCAATTTGGTTTGCTAGGTTGAAACGTACTACCTTGTGAAATGATTATTTTTGAAAATAAATAAAAATTTGGACGTTTCCAGTGCTTACGGCAGCTGTCCATCGAAAGCACAGGGGTTTTGAGTAGATTGCTATTGAAAATAATGCAATTTTTGTAACTCAAACAATTTCAAGAATTATTGATTTTAAAATGAGTAAAAAAAAATGTGAACCCAAGATTGCAAAAATTTGGACGACACTGATTCTTTTGAGCAGTTCTCTGCTCTGGATAAAAACTAGAAACCTGAGAAGTAAAATTGTTCACCAGTTGAATAAAAACAGGAATTCTACCTAGGAATTTCGATATAATATGAATTTCATAACCCAGTGAGTAATATAAACGATATGTATGTATGTACATTGTACAGTGATTATTTGGAATTATTGAAGCGAATGCGTATTATTTATGTAAAAAGTCCATATATGTAAGTTCATTTACCTTATGATACCTCTAGATATCCCAATACCCTGGAGAAAATCCATGAATTTTGTTGGGGCGCAAGTTATGTTGATATTAATTGATTATTCAGTAAGGCCTGGAGAATATCAATATGATCGAATATATATTATTATGTGATGAATAATATGGAATAGATTGATTCAATAAAAAACTTGAAACGGCTGGTCTAAAAGTAATCCTGTGCTGATCCATAAATCTATGCATGGCATGGTTTAGTTAAAAAGAATGAAATTTTCACGATAAGTACATGAAAAAGAATTGAAGACTCCTAGCTCCAAGTGTTGTCTCGAAGTTAAAGGTGAGAAAGTAGGTTGATGGTGGGTCTTTTTATGGTGCAGTGTGTGAGGTGCGAAGCCGATAGCAGTGCCCTAGATGCACATGGTTGCAGCACAGTTACAGGCAGCAGAAAAACATGATGAATCGCCTGGGGTCGTAAATGCTGAGGCAGATCCATTAAACGAATGCCACCCTCATCTTTCCAACCAGGAAACACAATATCCAAGAGTCATTCAAAGAAAAATAGCAATTTCTGCTAAAGTACTCATCTTCTTGATCCCATGCCAAAAATGAAGATGGGAGAATCTGGAAACAAAAAATTGGGAGAGATCTTTGAAAAGATGACAAGATTTCTGTCGAAAAGTCATGTCAAATTATTGAAACCAATTCCAGACGAGGTATTTGCAGTATCACAGAATCGCAGCTGCAAAACGATGTTTGACAGCTGACGTCATACATACTCCCTGGAAACCAGATGAGAATGAACCATGAATAAACCACAAAGATCAGAAGAAATAAATTTTTGTCAAGAAGAAAGAGAAGATGAAAGATTTCTGATATTTCTAAATGTTGTGGATCACTATAGAATAATTTCTCAATAAACCTTCTTGTTACAGATTCCAGCGATGCAGTGCTACAGGCGAATACAGTGAGAGACTGCGAGCATACAAGGTGGTGTCATAATATCAAGATTGAATGAACTATTTATGATTATAAACAAAATGAAGGTATGTGAACCATGAAGTTGTATTTGAATACTATTAAAAATGACCAAACAAATAACGTTCAATTAGAGCTTACTCGTTGAGAAATAAGAACGTTACAAGGTACCACAAACCGTTTCTTCCAGATAGCTTTGTAGTTTTGTCAAAAAATCAATGATATTCACAGTATCTTGAATCATCGAAAACGAGGAAAAGTTGCGTCTTTAAGGATTCGTTGTCCACCAATCTAATCGCCATATCATGCAGGTTGGCTGAAAAATTGATAACAGGAAATATTGTGGAAGATAATATTGTGGAAAATACTCGCTGGTTTTGACTTTTACATTCTAGCGCTCATAAGGTTCATGTTGCACCTTCGCCATTTCACTGTTTCATGAAAATGTTCTTGAAGAAACCTTCCACATAACCAGAATCTAATTCGTAATTCAAAAACCTAATGACATGAAGGTGATTCAAAAAACAGCATTGATAATTCCAATGTAGATGGAACAATTAATTCTCACGCACGAAATTATTCCATTAGCCCATTATAGCCTCGAAATATTTCAGCTCGAATATCTGAATTGAATCGGAAATTTACTTACCAATTTCAACCAAATGTTTGTGATGAGTAGCTGATTTTTCTCGTCCTGGAAAAAAATCATCATGTGAATACTTTGTTATAAATAAATGAACACTATCTTTTATTCGTAGCAACTTTTGATCTGCATAGATAACAATTCGGAGAATTTGGTCAATTGGATGTCAGAGCCAAGTAAAATACTAAGCCAGGAAAAAATTAAACTAATCACTAGTGAAACTTCAATGAAGGAAGTTAAAACTTGAAGACAAATCTATCTTTATCTTCCAGCCAATTACCTTCATCCATCATTTTGAACTATTTTTTATACCCAAGGTCGTTAATGACTATTGAAAAAATAAATTGTCACTCATTATCCGTGAGTGACTGTCGACCTTCAATGATTATAACGTTATAATATATTTTTCAATTATACTCAATTGTTGGTTTTCGCACAGGAAATGACAAACATAACTCTGGTGCCGAAATTCACCTATTCAGAGAGAGGTTTACCTTGGAAAAATACACTACAGTTTTTCAGGCTGAAGTATTCGCCATTCTGGTCGTAGCAGAGAAACAATTGGTGAAAGAGGAACCAGAGCAGAAGATTTACATCTGCTTGGATATTTGAGCAGGGCTCAAAGTGATCTGCCACCCCCAACCAAGCTCAGCATGCGTACAGACATGCGATGATGCTCCTAGGAAACTGGCTGAACTGAATGGAGTCGAACTAGTATAATTATAATACTGATAATAATAATGATAGTAATAATAATAATAATAATAACAGGACGGACAGCCTGACAACGACCGCGACGAAAATGGACGCCTTGAGTAGAGAGATGATCTGATGAGGGACGACCTCCGGCGCCTGCACTGGTTCGAGAGCAGCGATCCAGGACGTAGGAGATACATGAGGCGGATGCATGCTCTGTGGATTGAACAACATCCAGAACATGGAGCATTCACCGCTCAAAATCTCGAGGATTATCTATCTCACCTACGCGCTAGACAATACGTGAGAGTCCGTTCTCGGCAGGAAGATGGTGTGGAGAAACAACACGCTCCACCCATTCTGCTTGACAACGAGTGAGAGGACCGTGTGCTTCCTGAGGTGAGCAAAATCAGGAACCACAGGATCCTGTAATTTTCAGAGAACATCGCGAGAACCAAGAGAAATAAGGTAGGAATTGGTGTTCTCCTTGAATTTCTGCAGGTTATATGCCTCGGGGAACACCTCCCTTGGCAATGTGTCCCAGAGCCTCGCTGTTCGTTGGATGAACGAGTCTTTGGAAAGAGATGTTCTGCAGGTCTCCAAAGTGACCACGAAGGGGTGCGAAGCCTCAACTCGACGGATTAATCTCGCCGGGACTGCCAAGAGAGGAACAATTGTTGATATTTCAGAAGAGCATCGTCCATAAAAATATCTATGAAATAGAGCTAGATCGCCAACTTTTCTATGGTGTTCCAGGGAAGTGAGTGAGTTTGTGAGCGAGGCATCACCCACGAGACGAATTGCCCTTTTTTGGACAGAATCCAACAGTCTCAGGGTATGTTTGGGTGCTGCACTCCAAATATGGGAACAGTTATTCCAGGACAGGTCGGATCTGTGCCTTATAGATCATAAGCAGCTGACTGGAAGTGAAATAAAGCTCCTAGCCCGAAACAGAAAACGAAGATTTTGAGATGCACTTTTAGTAAGACCTTGCAAGGATGGCTGAATCACTTCGGGAAATACTTCCGGAAGGAGCTGACATCTGGCACATCAACTTTGCCGTGTATGGATTGGTTCGGTCCTCTCTACTGCAGAGACCTATACAAACGGGCTCTCTGACTGAAAGGGCCAATCGGCGTGTACAAAATATGGAAGCCAAGGTCCAGTCGGCGAGACAACACACTTGGATGTTGGTGCGACAGATGGCCACAAGGTGCGACGGATGGCCAATCACACACTCAATGAGGCAGTGCTAACCCCCATCAAACAGCACTGCCTCGGAAGGATACGGATGTTGGTGGCTGCCAAACAGTCACTAAAGAGGCGAGCGAGACGGCTTTCGAAAAATAAACAATTCCGCGAAAATTCCTCTCGCTTATTTCAACCACCACCAAGTGTGGTTGACAATCCGCCGACTGCTGAACAGGTGGAAACCTTCTGAAAGAGTATTCACGAGGTGAGGCATCCATTCAACAGAGATACTCAATCCCTGGCGCAGTTCGGTACATTCTGCGAAAGATACCGAGAGCCTGAGCCTGAGTTACTGCGCCAACCAATTACCACTGAGGAACTTCGAGAAGCCCTCAAAGGCTCCAAAAACTTTGCTGCTCCTGGTCCCGACGAGATCAATAGCTCCTGGGGGAAAAAGTTTCCCTCTTATTAAACATTCTTTTCTACTTATAATTCATTTTTCAATTTTTAGTAATCGCTGACTGGAGTTTTTTTCATTATGTTCATTTCATTTAACGCATCATAGTTGCAAGGTCGTTCGCCGGTTAATTTCGAACAGTCCAGATCTTCAATAGGGATACCTTCTGATGATTCTACCCTACTCAAAGCCACGTATGCTTGACCAGCAGCGAAGAGCTTCGGGCCTAAGTAAAAAATAAGGGCGTAGTCCATTTTTAATTTAATTTTTCAATCTAGTTGTATATAAGTTCACTACTCTTACTTTATATAATACACACTATATTAATTCACTATATAATGTAGATTTTTTATTCTAGTTTTTTTTATACACTATGTATTTTTTTCAATGAACAATAGAAGTTTCTTGAAAATCTTGTTGTTTTATTGCTGTAACAGAATGAACCTTGACCGTGCTACAAACCGTCAAGAACGTCACGTTTTTCATACTTCTGACGCATCAACGTTCGAATGACATGTGTCAAAACATCGAAGAAGTATGTCAAAACGTCAAAACCGTGCGTGTGAACGTCACTTTTTCCACGTTTCTAACCAATGTCAACTATACCATCACCTGACTAGGGGAAAAAACTGAGTTATTTTTATATTTTATTTTTGAAGTTATACAAATATTCTCTGAGAGCAATGCTCAACAAACTATTACCAGACATTTCACAAAATGCATGTCATGCATGAAAACAGTTTTTATTATTGAAATGAGTCGTTGTCAAATTCATAATATTGTGATGATGAGCACCAAAGTTTATAACTTCCAACAAAACCACTCGGTGGACCACTAGTCTCTGGTCGGCTTCAATGATCTGGGTGACATCTCTCTCGTGTATGTGGAAGTCAACCTCGTGTTTGCTGACCAGTAGCAATTTTGTATCATCATACACGCGTTGGGTGATTTCACAAAAATCTCCGCATGAAAACGTTATTGTATCATACTCATCTGCATGGGTTGGTAACTGTTCGAGGAAGAAATCCATCGATTTCTATCGCAGCAAGTCGATGAAGGTGTTCCACTCCAACACACCAAAAGATATTTTGTTTGGTGCCATGTAAGGTGATATGACTATGGATTGCCTGAATATTTTGGCTGGACTCAAACCGACTTTCAATTCAAAGCCACCAACTGGGAATGACGTACAGAGCAGATGATGTTTTTTGGCGTTGACTGCATTCTCGACGTCATATTGACGTATATAACTGAAGGTCATAAAGTCGTCTCACCAGAGTCAAACTTATCTTTCCAGTGTACAAAAGTGAAAATTTCAATCATACTCCGATAATTATTGATTCACACATAAAAAGTAAACTATAGTGGTTTTAGTGAATATATGGACAGGTTCGAAATATAGGTATTGGGAATAGGTACCTATCAAATATCCAGGTAGCACAGTGACCTAAGAAGACGTCATAATGATGTCGTTTGCTCTTCCAACATCCTTCCGTCCAACCGAAAGAAAGAATCAGTGGTATTCTTCCATTTTCATCGTCTTTTCTACGAAATTCGAGTTTGTACATACGTTCCTCTACAACGTGGAGCTCCATTTGCCAACATTTGGTACGTAGAAATCAAACTACTTTTATTCCGCTCGCTTCATGATTTTAGATACAAATATGAATAGCTAATGTTACACTCACATAGAGATGTGGAGGGACCAAGTGATCAATGACTGTTAGTTAATTAGTTATTAGTTAGTTTAGTCCCTTATAGGTCATTCTGAGACATCATTTCGACGTATAAATATGACGTCTCATGACTGTAACATCTTGACGTCTTTTTGGGTCCTCTAGACGACATTTTATGATGTCACTGTGCTACTTAAGATATGCGATAATCAAGTTTTCCTTAGTTTTAATCGATGGCGTCCCTGTTAACATGCACTACATACATTCGCATAGGACGAGAAAAAGTTGAGTTATAGGAAAATGGAAAATGATGACCATGACAATTTTCATTTTGGAAGAAAATTCTGTAGGGCATGTTGACAGGGACGTCACAGATCACAATTGGAAAACCTTCATGATTGCAAACATTTATTTTTATACGTTCTTTACATGATTCGAAATTGTAAAATAAAAACAAAGCGGTTTATGGTACATTGAACAACCACTGATTTTTTGTGAAATCTCATCATACTGAATCTCAGAAGAAACGCGGTTGCCGAACTATGTTCGTGTGAAGAATTTTTCATGAAATCATCCAGGGATTATCGTCCTTCAGGATCAGTATTCAATTATGCAACAATTATGCAACAATACGTTTGTAACTACTAAATGGTTGTCATAGCTAGTACATTTAACTCTTATACACATTATTGTAATGTCATCTGCAGTATTGGAGCATACAACTCATCTGGTCAAGTTGAGTAATGAGAGCATATCAGCATAGGTGTCAAGTTGGCTCTCTGAATTTCCACGCCATACATGACGTCAGCCACAACAAGAAAAATCTGCGAGATACAATTCATTCTCCATTGAGAACATTATCAAGTAAGGGCTTTCCGACTGTCATACCTATGGCTTGGTTACAATCCTTGCAAGGGTCAACTTTTTCATTATGTTTCCTCAAATGATTTTTCGAAAAATATACTTCCTAGGAAGAAGGTTTATCTTGGCCGAGTTACGTTTGATTGTTCAGGAAAAGGAGTCTCCTCTCT